AGTTTACATCATCTTCTTCCTCTAACAGGTATTTCCACACTGGCAGACAGTTCAGCTCCTCCATCTACAGCCTCTGCCATCAACTGCAGCCGCCACCTCCACCTGCAGTTTCTGGCAGACAGCTTGGCCAAACCTATAACTAAGCCTTGGACAGCAACATGCAGCTGCTGCCTCCACCTGCATACTTAGGCAGCGAGCTTAGCCAAGCCTTCATGTACAGCCTCTGCTGAATTCTGTCCCCTTGCCATGTGAAGACCTCAGCTGACCAGGGACCAGAGATGCACCAGGGACCAAAGAGCAGAGATGCACTCATAAATATAACCTTTCAGGTAAGACAGACAATCATAACTGTGTAATAATAGCATACCTGGGCTGATAGATTAAAGCCACCTTTATGTTACATTCAGTTTACATCATCTTCTTCCTCTAACAGGTATTTCCACACTGGCAGATTCTGGCAGAAAGCTCAGCTCATCCATCTGCAGCCTCTGTCAAGAACCTGCAGCACCCACCTGCAGATTCTGACAAACAGCTTATCCAAACCTCAAATGAAGCCTCTGCCAGCAGGATGCAACTGCAGCCTCCACCTGCAAATTCTTACAAAAGCTTGGTCAAATGTCCAACTAAAGTCTCTGCCATCAACCTGCAGCCACCGCCCCCTCCTGCAGATTCTGGCAGACAGCTCAGTACCTCCATCTACAGCCTCTGTAGTCTGCATCTGCAGCCACTGTCAGGAACCTGCAGCCTCCACCTCTCCCTGCAGATTCTGAGAGACAGCTTGGCAAACCTCAAACCAGGCCTCTGTCAGCAACATGCAGATGCGGTCTTCACCTTCATATTCTGACAGAGAGCCTAGCCAAGCCTCCATCTACAGCCTACAGCCATGTGGAGACCTCAGCTGAGAAGGAACCAGAGATGCACCTGGGACCAAAGAGCAGGTATGCTCTCATAAATATAACCTTTCAGGTAAGACAGACAATCATAACTGTGTAATAATAGCATACCTGGGCTGATAAATTGAAGCCACCTTTATGTTACATTCAGTTTACATCATCTTCTTCCTCTAACAGGTATTTCCAGATGTTGTGTGAAAGAGCACACAGCCATCAACATAACTCTGACATGCCAAGATGCTGAACTTCATCCACCAGAATGAGCTTTTCTTCTGCCAACTGGTGTGAGCTCATGGTCCTGTGGATCAGGCTGGTGCATAACATTGTGGGATATTTGGTAATGTCTTAGTGTCTAAACCATGAATTTCCATTTAACCTGATGTTTGAATGCATGTTAGAAGTTATTAAACCTGTAGAAGTTTTCCAGTGGAAACAGGGATGCTATATATCTGTAATTGAATATCTAAAAATAATGTGTAAAGTGCAAACTCTTTGTGTTTTTTCTGCAGATCCTGTTGGACTTAACTTCCAGGAGCTGATTAAGGGCTGGGAGGACAATTCCATCTCCCTAAATTTTCTAACAGAGAAACTCATTTCACTTCCCCCATGCAGAGACATCTGCCCTGCTCTGTATTAAAGTGTCCTGAGATTCTTTTTTTTTTTTTAATCATGATTTGGCTCTATATCAGTAAATTTGGCTTGAATTGGTTTGAAAATGCTTGTTTGTCTCTCACTTTCTTACAAGTCATCAGTGTCTACTGTCTACAGTTTAGAATATTAGTATGTCACCCGGAAGGTATGGCGCCCGGAAGGAGAAACAAATGATGAGGTGGTAAAGTCGGTGTAAAATGTGAGAAAGCCATGACATGCATCAAGCATGTGACTTAAACTTTAATGTCCACTGAAGCTTCCTCTGAAGAGATTAAAAAATGGCAGATTAAAGTATATGTGGTGTGATGGGAGACTGATGCTTTTTTTTTTTTAATTATATCTGCACCCTCTTTTTCTGCAATCATGCCACTTGACTGGAGAATTAGTGCCACCTACTGCTGATATTGATGAACCACATCCTAATATTAACATGACATATTTACAAATATGTTTTTCTTTTACTAGCTTTCTGAATGTAGTTTGGATGGAAACCTGGCTAATGTTAAAACCAGGCCAATATCATACAGTGCAGTGTCCCCTAAATAAGAAAATCCCATTTGCTTCCACCTCTCCTTGTGTGTATCCTTCCAGTTTCAACGTCTGTGGCAAGACATGAAATTATACATAATTGCTGTTGTTTATTGGATGTGATAATGGCACCTTTTAAATCCCACCCTTACATGGCCAAAATTGCTTTGCAATTGTCCTTGCCTGACAACATTTGGAGAAACCACAGCTATCACAGCCCTTTACCAGTGTCAACAAACGGAGGAAAGGTGACATAAAAGCACATGTAGATTCATTAAGGACCCTCTTCCAAGACATATAGAATATAAGATGTTATGAGTGACATCAAGAGGTTTACTTGCACACATGTAACTGGAGTTAGAGTCAGTGGTTACAACAATATTTCCCCTGTATGAATGTAGCTTAATGCTAATGTGCCATTCCCAGTTCATCTGATCTCTTCTATGAAAGCTGCAGTGTGCCAACATTAGAGACATGCTGAGTGGGTAATTACTGTGGATTACAGAGAACAATTACAAAGTGAATATTTACATTTAAAAACCCTCTCATTAATAGGGACACAATTAAAAATCAAAAACAAATATATGTATTTGCTGCAGCGGTAATTCCCTCTGCCCAGCTGCAACTTGTTTTAGGGTACTGCAAAGATATCAAGCAAACGTGGTCACACAGTGACAGATGGTGTGGGAGTGATTTTGCGCTCGGTCAGGGATGAAATAGGGTGAAATGACAATGACACATTTTATTTATTTCTGTCTTTTCCTCTTTTAAGTGTCCAATAAAAAAACCTGTAAGTAACAACTGAGAAAGACTGTATTTATAGGACACTACGCCTACACACACAACAGGAGGCCAGACTGACATGCCCTAAATAAATATGACTGATTCCTTTTTTGCACAAGGTCAATAGTGTTAACCTTTAAAATACCTGACTCAAGAATGATACCCAGGCCACACGCAGATTGGAGCAGATGTCAATATATCTGAAAGCTTTTTAGACACTAATCATCCCCAAATGTTGTCTGCTGTGTATATTGGGTCCTCTGTCTGTGTGGATTGTCCCCGAGACAGTGTGTTTTGACTCTCTGGTTACTGTAATGAACACTGTTGATTCAGGGTCATGCTGACCAATCTTGGAAAAAGCTCACAACGATTATATGCACCCTTCACTACAATAATGTTCTCCTTGTGTTTCTCTATTTGTGCTCACTCTGCTCGGATGGGAGACATGCATAAAGATCTGTTTGGAGGCTTCACGACCAGTATCTCATTTTAGAATATCGAACACAACATTATGATGGATCACGTTGTGCTGCACACTTGTTAAAGAGAAACCCTGACACTTTTGTGACTAATGAAGACAACATTTTAAGACTTTTGAGTATATTTCTTTTGCTTCTACAGAAAACCTGCTGCTAATTTTAATGTAATCACAACATTAAATAAAGAAAATGGCAACTTTTTTTAACATTTTAAATGTAATAATTTAATTAATTATACTTTATTTGACAGTACAAAACAAAGTCATACAGTCAGAAACACCACAAGGCACAGTACAGCAGCACAGGCATACAATTTGGGACATAATTTACCCTTCAATGTGTTACATGTACCACAAAGTGACAACCGATCATCGCTGACCAGTTTGAAAAAACGTCTTATGCTCTCTGATTTAACAGAGAGAGTTTATAAGGAGAAAGTATATATGGATTTATCCATGCCATGTAATTGTCATCAAGATTCAACTTCACGGTAACAAAGCAATAACCCATATATATACAGTAGTGGTCTTGTTATTCAATATCATACAGTACAATACGATACAAGCCCCTCTACATTACATTTACTTACACAGATATATAACTTAAATTACTTTATATATTACATTACACACTATTCATTTGCAGTTCAATAAAAAGCAGCTTTTTAAACAGTATTTTTGAAACACCTAATACGATTCTGTAAACGGTAAAATTAAAGCTTTATGCTTTCTGGAAATGTGACAGTCTGAGCTTTTGAATCACCACTGGAAACTTTGTGGGGATAAAAACACAACGAATGGTTAATTGAATAAAAATGAAATGTGCATTGGCGATAATTTGTTATAATGGGGAAAGAGAGATTGACTCGGTACAATAAGTTAACAATCAAGCGGTCTATTGGTTAAAAGAAAGAGATTGATTTCAGTCTTTGGTTGATGAAGTCAGCAGTGTGGCTGATGGTGTTTTTGTGTGTCAGTGACAATTATTTGGAAGTTGGCGAGTTTGGAGTGTTTGTTCACTTATTAGGCTGATAGGCCTTCAGAGATGTATAAACCAGTTTAAGTCTGATTACAGACAGTTTTAATATTTATTTTTTTTAGAATATATTCAACCATGTGTTAGAATGACACTTTTTGTCGGTCCATCCAACATGACTAAAAAGCAGGAACATGGTGAGAGGAAGTGACTTCAATTTTCAGACGATCAGTTCTATTGATTTGTAACTGATGATTCATTTTTGTGTAGTGAGAAAGCTCAGGTAATGTTTATTCAGACGATTTTCAGATGATGTTATTTTGGTCTGTTGTTGTAGCAGCTCTTATATAATTGTATAAATATGTATAAACTGTTTAGATGTAAACAAAAGTAGGTGTCTTTTCCTCTGTATGAATTGTGTATATCATAACAGTCTTAAAGAGGAGCAAGCAAATAAATGATAGTAATAAACAAGTGGGATTCAGTAAAAACCTGTGGCATTCATTACATTTGACTGCTAAAAAAAGTTTATTTGTATCTATATTGTTTATCGTTGTAATGCAGAATGACAAGTTGAAAATTAAATTAAAAAATGACACCTACTGCTAACAATAACTGACTGAGAAAATATAGAATAAATACAAATGATCTTAAAAAAAGTCATTTCCAAATACAGTTTAAAAATATGTTTTACTCAACATCTTCACCCCATTAAATATAAACAAAATTTTGAATCTTTTTATTGTTCCTTTAAGGAAGAATTTTGTATTTATGGAAGAAGCAGTTTGAACACCACGTTACATGTTTGACTGAATCCCGTTCACCAGTGTCAACACAATAGTGGAGAGGGTCAATGCACAGCTTCACACATCCACTGTTGAAATTAAAGCACACTACAATGTCTATGTTTTTTTTGTGTCGGCACTTTTATACTGCTCCCACCACCGCCGCCATCGTGATCGATTTAAATGGCCATAGCTTTCTTCTTTGTAGTTCTTCAGACCTTTGCTGTGCATTCATTCATCCACCCACTGCCCATACTCCATTTTATTTCTCTTTCTCTCTCTCTCTCTCTCTCTCTCTCTCTCACACACACACACACACACACACACACACACACACACACACTCTTTCACTCTTTTTATCTCTCTGTGCTTTTCAGACCACCAACCAGTGATGCAGCTGTGGGAAAAATGGAAAACGCCCATGAAATAAAACACAGTATTGTTTTACTGCTTAAACCTGCAGTGTGGGACTGCTGTCTCCCCCCTCTGGCAGTGAGAGTAATTACACAAATACTTTGAAAGTGCCTCTGTGGTATGCCTGCATGTGAGCTCATCCCACCACCCCCCTCCACCCCTGGGTGTGCTCTCTTTAAGTATTCCTATGCAAATAAGGGCAGAGGGAAAGAAAAGGCCAAGTGATGGAGTCATCAGATGAGGTAATCATTTATGCCCGAAATGTTGTCTGAAGCCCCTTTTACACTGCCTGTTCAAGGTGGGAATATCATGCCGTTATTCCACCTCGACGTTTGTAGAAAAGGTACAATTGCGGACTGGGGGGACAGAGTTGCCTTTAACCTAGCAGTAGAGGTAGTAACAATATCAAATCAACTCCTATGTATTAGGGACAGCTGACAGGACGGGAACATAGGCGGGGCAGGGGTGACATTTTGACAGCATGTTATGTGTGTCACCAACCACCAGGAGATTTAAAAAGTAGCTAATAGCAGTTAGCAGCTAACTCAAAGAAGAAGAACAACAGCCTAAATGTCCACAAACTGAGGAGACAGTGAGGTCTGGGAGCTCTTTACCCTTAGAGGAGAAAACAGATCAGCGCCCTCATAACAGGAATGGTAAATTGTTAAGGCAACGATAAAGTGTTGCCTTCTCCTGGGGGTGGAGATTGTGATTGGAGTGGCATCCTATCTGGCGTCTCCAATTCTATGGGTGCAGTGGGGACCAAGAGTCTACTTATTGTATGTGGTGATACTGCTATGAAGTAGATTCGTAGTTTGTTGAACTGAACTGTTACGAGGCACTAATGTAGCCATTTTGGGGACTGGGCCAGGTTTATAGAACTCAAAACTGACTGTGCACTCACAGCCACCAGCATTTCTTTTGTTAGTCACTAGGTGCAGGGCTGCTGTTTAATTTGCGTTTTCGTTTTCACTCAGCAATTAGGGATAGAAAGGGTTTTTTCTGCTTTTGATTTTAGTAGATAAGATTAATAACTCTTGTTTTCAAGAGTCCTCTTTTGGTTATAATTCTGTCTTTGAATTGAGCAGCAGCCATGAGCCCGTTTTCCATTGTAGTTTGCCTCACTTTTGTTTGTAACAATAATCCTCAACATCTTTTGTTCATGAATAACTTTATTTTCACCCAAAACATCTGGTTTTATTCTGCTTCCCCTTCACAAGCTGGGTAGCAACATGAACGGTTATTATTATTGCCATGTAACATTACTGTTTTTGTTTAGGGTGCATTCACACCAGGATAGTCTGGGGGACTTAGTTCGATTGGACGGGGAATGCCAAATTTCACTCCTTCATTTGGTTCAATTCACTTTCACACAGCGCTTTTTAAAGCGGACCAAACCGCCTGGACGTCACGCAGTTAAAACAGCTGCTCGTTTGGGGGCGGTATTGCCCAAAACGACCACTGACCAGGAAGAAAAAACATGAGGAAGAGGAAACCCCGGCTCAACGATTGGCCAGGACCGAAAATGGAAATCCATCCCCCTCAGCTGGCTTGGTAACCACAAAAACAACGGAGCAACACCAAATTTATGCAGACTTGGGGTAAGCCCCTGCACCTCCTCATGACTCCACGTCTGTCCACGAGACATTTTCCAACTTTTTCTTTTTTTACATCTGCTTCTCGCAGTTTGCGCTGTTGGCTTTGATATTTTTCTACCCAAAATGCATTGCGCTCTACGTCACTTCCTCTCTTTGGTTCACTTCCTCTCTTTGCTTCACTGGATAGTCTGTTTGCGTTTCCCACTGTAAGCGAACCACACCAGGGTTGACTTGCAAGTGAACCGAGACCCCCAGTTTTCAAGTGGATCAGGGTTTGCTGGTCCGCACCAGAATTCAAATGAGCGTTCACACCACTCCAAACGAACAGAACTAGGGATGCACCGAAATGAAAATTTGTGGCCGAAGCCGAATAATATTAAGCGCTTGGCCGAATACCGAGTACCGAATACCAAATGTCGTTGTTTAGTTTTTCATTAGTTTTTGCAGATGAACCCCCTCCAGATTAGTGTTGTCACGGTACCAAAATTGGATCCCACTGTACGATACCAATGAAAATATCATGGTTCTGAGTAGTATCACAATACCACAACGAAAATGAGGCAGATGTGCCTTTTGTCATTTATAAAAAGATAAATCACTTTTCTATAATACATCAATGATATTTCAATGGAATAAATTACTTATTGACTTATTCATACTTCAAAAACAGCATCAATAAGTGATGAACATAGGGGGGATCAAAATAAAATAAATAAATAAAATAAAAATCAACCAGCCACCCTCCTCCCCTGACAAGTAAAGAACAGTCCCTTCATAAATAAAGAACAGTCCCTACAGTGCGGTGAGGTTTGTGGGCCGTGAACGGCTCGTTTCTCCTCTGACACATCACGTATGGTCTGTGTTCGGCTGGCTCAGCTGTTCAGGTACTTTTGGGCAGTCATGACGCCAAGAAGAGGATATTATTGGAGCCGACTTCTCCGTCGCCTGTAAGCCGATGGCCGCCGTAATTGACAGGAATACATTACTGTCTGTGTCTGTGACCCCCGTTCAACCCACAACCGATGGGATTCGCCTTTTGTTTCTGCTGGTGGTTGAAATCTGTAGGCTGCTCGCACAGCGTGCTGAATGATTTAAGCCTATTTTGCTCGCTCAAAACTATTTTTAGTCGCAAATGTGAGTGCGGTGACACACAGATCGCCACACTGCCGACATTTTACTCTGCCCGTCACGGCACACTGTTTGATTGCGTTATCAAAACACACCACTATTATTTGGCCTTGCTTTTAACTTATTCCACCTAATACCAAATGTGTGTTTTTTGCAATATTTGGCCAAATATATTCGGTTACCGAATATTCGGTGCATCCCTAAACAGAACTATACGCAGAAGAGGACCAGGGTTCGTTTAAAGCGGACCAAATAGCATCAGTGTGAATGCGTCCTTAGAAAGTGCTGAGATATTGTCACACTATGTCACACTAGAGGCCAATGTTGATGTAATACACGGTATTCCCATCACACCTGATGCTTGCTTCCAGGATGCCGGCATGCTTTCTAAAATCACACACGGGTGTGACATGACGCTGCTGTTGTTTGCTTCTGTGTAAAAATACAAAAGTGGTGTAACAAAGGGACTTCATAGTGGCCCCATAGTGCAATCTTTGTGTAAAAGGGGCTATAAGCCATACAGATGGTGTTCCGTGTTCGCCGTCACCGTTATTGCTTTTTTTTTTTTTTTTCTTTTTTTAAACTTATGTCCTTCCTCCAAATGCCGAGGTGGAGCATCCACTCCAGTGTGCATTACTTGGACACTTTTCTGCCATAGCATGCACCATAAACCTAGCTGCTGCTCTGCTGCTGTGGTTTCTCCTCCCTTCTAGCCCCCTTTAAGTTTGGCTGGTAGGCATAATACACATAATTTCTGGTGTGCCACTGAGGGAAAGTCGCCACACACACCAGACACCACGACCCTGACAACTCTGACTTCGTCACATTGGGTGAACTTATTTGGCAAGGGCTTGAATATCACAGACGTTCATTTATATGTAAAAGTCCCGCACTCCAGCCTCAATTAAAATGGGCTTAATATCAGTAATATCATTAATATAGTTACTTATCTAAAGCCTGCAGACGTGTGAGCTTACAACAGCAGTAAACAATTCTGATAACAATAAAAATCAATCATAATTAAGACAACACTCACTGTGAACTGCCGAACCTCCCCATTGTCTACCAAGTGATGTTCTGTCTCTGGGGTGATGGCATAAGCCAGTCGCTGTTTCAGGAAAAAAGGAGGAAAACAATTAACATATTAAAAAAAAGTTCTAAATCATTATTTAAAAAGAATCCTCCATATTTCATCAAAGGTCCAGTTATACCATAAATGACAATATATATCATTTCCCCTCACTCTATTTTCTGACTTACATCACAGAACTTTCCAGGCAGTGTGCAGAGTTTGTAGATGGCGTAGAGAGGCACCATGGACATTGAGGAAATGGCCAGACACCACCCCACCATGTTAGCCCATGGAGGAAACATGTAGGTGCCGTAGGTTGGAGGGTGGAATGTGGCAAAGCTCACCACCACCATAAACTATTGAAGAAAATAATGTGAATACATAAGACTTTATAAACCATTACTTCAAAAGATCATTTTAAGTCCTCTTTCAAGCAAATTAATTCAGTGGTAGAGTGTAATTTTCTGATACAGGATGTTACTTTACTTAGCAGTAAAAATAGTGGCAATATTTCTGTTGTTAAACCATTATAATTATCCACAGTGCATAGTAAAAGGTGGTGGGTGTGTTGAGTGCCAAGCCATGTGTTCCAGCTATCATTAAATCACACCTCTCAGCCTTCCCAGGGAAATTAACCGCAAAAATTCACATAAACAGCTATATAAACAGCTATTCTAAATTCATTTATCTTAACTTTTGTAGTACTTGATTATTTTTTTTTTTTTACTTTATCTGACTATGTTTACTCATCCGTCATTCACTTCCATTACCGCTTATCCTCTCTGAGGACGCTGGGCCCATCCCAGCTGTTTTTTACCCAGAAAAAACCCATGCTGACATGGGGAGAACATGCAAGCTCAGCACGGGGGCTCACCCCAAGTTCGAACCAGGAACCCTCTTCCTGTAAACTCACAGTCCTGCTATTTATTTTTAACCTTTGCCTTGGTTTGGTTTCCAATGTACAATAAGTCCATATAGAGGCTCACCAGGAGGAAGCAGGGGCTGACAAACTTCCAGCACAGTCTCCAGTACCTGCCTGGTCGCTGGCCAATCATCTCTTCGATGTCATCACTGAATCGGTCCACTCCTGAAACACATGGAAATACTTTGTATTACTTCCAACCCATGGCTACATTCGGCCTTTGCTAAAATTGAATATCAAAATATTATCAAGGCAGTAGGTGCATTTGTATATGGTCCTCATGCATGAGTGTAAATCAAAAGCAAGGTTTGTGAGAGATTTTTTGTCTCTCACAAACCTGGCTGTACTGTTTTTTTTCTTTTTCTACCTGCCTGGAAGGCATCTCTCACTGCAGAGGACTATATCCGGGCTGACGACCAGGTATTCAGCACAGCTAAATGTACTTATGTAGTAGACAGCAGAACGAAAGACCACAGTGGCCAGGGGTCAAGGGTTCCTGTCAGCAGTTATGAGGATGGGAAAAAAAAGGCCCACTGAAGCCTTAGGCTTGATTTATCTGGCTTGCCAAGGTCGGGACCCACCAAAGTGGGGCAATATGCTGACCCCACCACCTGAGGCCTGGTTAGTATTTAGCCCTTTATAGATCCCTCCACAGTCAGATTCAGTAGACATGAGACAAGAAACTCAATACAGAAGTTCAGGTCAGCCATTTTCCCCGACCTTTAGATTGTTTTTATAATATTTTGTGCCTTCTGGAGATTCAGAACGGGCTTTTTCACACTCTATGAAAAGCCAGTTTTTCTTGTTTTCAGGTGGTACTGCTGTCGGTAAAAATATATGCAAAGGCAAGCATCCATCATTAAGCAGTTGGTCTTTAGCTATTAATTTACAACTGAACCAGAGAAGAAGGAAATGGAGTAAACCCAAAATGGCTAACTATACTGTGATTATCTACAGAACTATAGGTCACTAATCAGCTCAGAAGGGGTTGAATTCTGGGGCCCTAACATGCACCCACATCACATCAAGTATTTCTACTCTATCGTGCTGATAGAGTGCTTGAAAAATACATAAATATTCAGCCAGGATACATGTCATTCACTCCACTCCACTCCACTCTACTCTCTACTGTATTTCAAGCAGAGGCAAACAGTGATTTGCAGTGGTGTGTTGGAGGTGTGGTACACGTAAAACATAATGCATTCGAGAGATGATGTCAAAATTGTGTGACTCCTGTCAATGACAAATGGGAGATGTGTGTTCTTCAGCTGCAATTCTCTTCATGTGGTGGCTCACCACTGTCAAGTGAACAGACAGGTAACACTGGCAGTGTTTAAAACGCAGGCCATTTAACCCCCCTGAGCTCTTATGAGCACCAAAGCTACAGTTTATCCTTGTACCTTAACAACACATGCACAGAGGCTGAAGAGGCCAAAACCATTAATGAGAACAACCCTTAAAGCTGCAGCATCTAATGGAACTATGTTGCACTGAGGCACAGCACACCTCTACCAAAAGATTTCTCATAAGACCCTTAATATAGCATCAGCTTTGCTGACCATGAAAACATGAATCATCTGTTTTTCCTTGTGTCCATCTTTCTCACCGTAAAACCATGCGATGCCAATGGCTTCAATAAGCACTCCAAAGAGAATCGATGTTCCTGCCGCAAAATTGTCCAGCAGAGTGAACACATACATCCCACCCTGGAGAGAGATAGTAAACATGATGAATGTGTAATAATTGTGTTGTTTTAATAAGCTTTATCACACAGGTTACAGTATGAACAAACTAAAAAAAAAACCTAAATTCTAATGATTCAGTTCACGGCTTTTGCAGATACTAGGTACGTATGAAACTGTGCGTTTGTCTGCCCAGTGTGATACTTACATTTGTAACACAGAAGAGAGATATAAGGAAGGTGGCAACCACAATGAAGAGGGTGAACAGCTCTCTGTGCTTGTGGAGGAATTTAAACTCATCAATCAGCCCCGTGATCACCGATTCCATCCCACCCATCTACGACAGAAGACATTAGAATAAATCACAAAGTCAGCAAGTCCCTGTATATGTCCTTTTTTATTGCATAATTGCTGCACTAGAGCTCAAAAACATAAAAACTGCAAAGGAAAACTGTTTATTTTACATAAAGCATGCTGTTATTTCATTTAACATTACAGCACATGAACTAAAATACCCATAAACAGCAGAGATTATACAACAACACCTTTATTTACATATTTATATCACAAATAAGAAAAAGGCGCACATCTGAAATAACGTGTCTGTGTGTGAGTGTGTGTTTTTGGATGTGTGAGTGCATACTCACAGCACTATCAATACCCAGTGTTAACAGCATGATGAAGAAGATAACCGCCCACACCGACGATCCAGGTAATGTTGCAATGGCTTCTGGGTAAATGACAAACACCAAACCAGCACCTACAGGGCAACAAATTCAAGCAAGGAAAATACAAAGCAGCACAAAATACACACAAATTAGAATTATCATTGACTCATGACATAATCAACGAAGGCACATTATCCTGCTTCTGCTGAACTGTTCGCAGTGTCATTTAATACTATTATTACTGTATTTAAACACAACATTACAAACACAGTAAAATAAAACCATACCATCTGTGGCAACTTTGTCCAGGGCTATGTTGTGTTTCTGGGACATGTACCCGAGGAAGGAGAAGACCACAAAGCCGGAGAAGAAACTGGTTAAAGAGTTGATGGAGCTGGTGATGATGGCGTCTCTGGATCAATAATAACAAATGACATGAAAAACAGTATGAAGTCAATATCAGCATAACTGGCAGCCAGTCAACTAGAGAGTGCGTCATGGGTGGGTCAAGGATGGGTCAAGGATGGATAGAATGCTGGCTTGCCATAATGAGTCTGGGTTGCAGAATAGTTTAGAGACTGCTGACAGGTAGTCAATGATTTGCCCATGATGTGACAGACTAGCAAGTTGACTTCCTGCCTTCTGATAGGAGTTAAAACCCCTTCAATTGCAAAAATGATAAAGTCAGTAGAGAAAATCGATAAATAAATGAGTTGGTTAGTGTTAAAAAACAACAGGATGTGTGATTTACACATGAAGAAGTTAACAGCTTTGGCTTACAGTAAATGTGCAACCCCGCATAACTATTCGATTTGGTGTTATGCTCACGAGGAATCCTCGAGGTGGACAGTGTCATGTGTCAGTTATCATAAACATTAAAAAGGGTAAAAAAGGCAGATAAAAGCCTCCTGTGGGACGCTGATGATTTTCAAAGAGGGCGACAGTTTTGATTGGTGTTATGGCTGTCTGTTGCACAGCATGGTGTCAAAGACATGGCGGGTTTCGAGGAGCTTCAAAGGTTATTGTAATTCACCTGCTTATGTTGCATGTGTGTGCCTGTGTGTGTGTGTGTGTGTGTGTGTGTGTGTATGTGTGTGCAGAAGCAACTCTCCACCCATCCCTTGTCTGTCTCTGTGAATCCCCTCCTTCGTCCCCTTGTGTGTCTTTACCTGTAACAGTTGTTGCTGAATTTGTTGTAGCTGGAAAAGGCAATTAGCACACCAAACCCCACTCCCAGAGAGAAACAGATCTGTGTCGCTGCCTCGATCCAGACCTGGGGGAGCGACAGAACAAGCGCACTTGTGTGAAGCGGCAAACAAAAGGCACAGGAGAGGAAAAAAGCCATTATTAGGGATAATTGCAGGAAACTCATTCAACGGCAGTAGATGAAAGACGCTAGTGAATACGGGGGGTAATTTTGCAAATTACTGTTCCATGAATCTATCTAATCTAATTCTCCAATTGCAGCCTTACATGTCTCTTTCGCTCTCCTTCTTGCTTTTTTTCTCTCATTCTCCATAACTGAGCCTTTTAGTCCTGCTTGCTTACTTGTTGAGCCTCTCAGTGCTATGACAGCAGCTTTCACAGGGTGGGAAAATATTAGAAACAGGTTAGACAAACAGTTTTCTCGCTTTTTTTTTTCCTCGAGGAAATCCCAGTCAAATGATACTTCACATTGTAAACCAGTGCTTAATTCTTTGGTCTGCAGCGTACAATGAGAGGAAACTGACAATTAACATCTCTCAGATTTTATGCATGAACATAACAGTTTGTGATTTGAGCTCACAAGAATAGCTCCACATTAAGGCTTTTGTCACCCCTGTAGTTCAACATTAAAGATGGTACATTTTGCCAGACAACAGTTGTGTAGTGTGTGATGTTTGTGGCTTTGTTGTGTCTCACCTAATACAACTTTTCTACTGTTTCTCACCCCAGCCCTGCCTTCATCTCTGTCCTTTAAACTTAGTCCCGCTGTGTCCTATCTTCTAAAGTTCCATATCCTAGACTGATTAGAAAATTCTATGCTACAGCAAGCAAACTGCACAGTGTTGTCCAAAATAATTATAAGCAAATGCAAAATAAAATAACCTTAACAAACTGCCATTATTGTTATTTTTTCTTTCTTTTTTTCCTAGTTATTTTTATTGAGCCAAAGCCCTTTAAGATGTTTCTTATCCTTTCCCAGTGTGTGCTGGTTAGGCCATGTAGCCACACATTGTAGGATGAAACTGCTGTTCATTTCCTTGATATAAGAAATAGCTTTTTGCTATAATGTTACAGTAGGAGAGGAATTTTTGTTAGGCAATGGAGAGTTGTCTTAATGATTCAGATACACCCAGAATGATTAATATAGGTTCCCGTTCTAGTGAAATATTACTAATTTCTGCGATGCTGTTGAAGACATCGGACCAAAAAGATGAAACCTTAGGGCACAAGACAAAGCTGTGAGAAAGAGTTGCTTCTGAGGAATGACATTTATCACAAGTTGTGGGGGTGGAGCTGGACCCTTTGACAGCAGTGTCAGACAGGAGGATGCTGTCAAAGGTGCGGGCGATACTTGAGCATGGCTCTCACCCTCTCCACAACGCTCTGGTCGAACAGAGGAGCACCTTCAGCCAGAGACTGATTGCTCCTAAATGCACCACTGAGCGCCACAGGAAGTCATTCTTACCTGTGGCCATTAAACTGTACAACTCCTCCCTCTGATGATCGGACTCATTTGGCTATTTATAAAACAAAACACACAATATAATTACTCATTCTTATTTCATTTATAACGCTACAACCATTTCATTGTATATTGTATATATTTCAGATTGTCTACTATTTTATTATTTATTTTATTTTATTGTCTACTTTAATATTTTATTTTTATTTTATTTTATCTTAATGTCTACTTTAATATTTTATTTTATTTTATTTTAATGTCTACTTTAATATTTTATTTTATTTATTTCATTGTCTATTTTAGTATCTTATTTATATCTTCATCTTTATCTCTTGTTTCCATTCATGCTGTATTTCTATTTCTACTTTGCACGGAGCATTGGAACAAAAACAATTTCCCCCCGGGGATTAATAAAGTATTCTGAATCTGAATCTGAATCTGAAGTTGGTGACATGTTTGGATATGTTGTGTATTGGCCTTGGAGTTGTGGAGTCTGTGTATGGTGTTGTTTGAGCGTTATGTGTTCAAGGCTTTCTTCCCATATGTCATCTGACATTTTAATACCTATTTCTTTTTCCCAACTGGCTTTGGAACTTTCAGAAGATGGATAGACTAATGATAGTAGGGTGGTAGATGAAGTTATCTCAGATTGGTGACGTTTTAAGACAGTTGTCTATTGTCAGCACTCTCAATTTCAAATCCTATTAGATGTTTTCGTATATACGTAATCTCTAATATGTAAGTGTCTGAAATAATTATTGTTTAAAAGATTGAAGTTCTTTTGTAGTTGTGCAAAGGTGGCAAATGTACCTGCTATATATAGATCTTTGACACTGTGTAATCCTAAGTCACTCCATGTACAGAAGGTTTTATCTAGAATGGATGGGATAAAAGTGTTGTGATGGGAAGAGCACGAGAAATAGGCTTGAGACCTAGGTGGGATTTGATTTGTTTAAACTGGCATTATTATTACTACCAGTTCTAGTACTGTGGTGTAATACAGTTCTGCATGTGGTTTGTCGTACCCCAGCAGAAGCCATTGCCTGACTGCTGTGTGTCGGTACAATCAATGACAAAGACTGTGCTATTTCACTAATTTGAAATATGTAAAAAAGTGAAAAAAAAAAAAAATTAATAAAAATAAATAAATAAATAAATCTATCATGAGTGTTACATAGGCTAAAGTTTTAAGTATGCAAATCTAAAGAGTTTATGATGATAAACACAAAACCATTCTGTAAAATATACCCTATCCCACTGTGAATATGGATTTGTAATGAGCTAATGCTAACCTTTATGCTTGCTTTCTACTGCTGTTATTACTGGTATGTAGTGTGCACTGGTAATAATGTAATGTTACTATGTACCATTGCCATTTTAAGACTAGCTTTAATCTATAATTGTGTCTTGTAGCATATTTGGTCGAGATAGGATACAAGCCAAGCCTTTTTGCAGTTTTCTTTACACAGTTTTAGTTTCAGATAAAACATAAAACTAAAACTTAAAATGCCAAAACATTCCTTTATAGTGTTTATCAGCCCCCATTTACCCCCCTGTGCCTCTTTTTCTTCTTCTCCTGCACCCCCACCACTCTCACCTCACTCGTGTCCCCCCCATCTCTCCCATCGACACTCACCTTGGCGTCACAGAGTCTCAGGAAGTCCACAGAGAGGTAAGCCTTAATGCCATCGATGGCTCCAGGCAGGGTGACTCCGCGGAGCAGCAGCACAGTCAAGACCACATAGGGCATTGTGGCTGTGATCCACACAACCTGAAAGGGTTGCACAAGGTACAAACACACAGACACACAAACGAACAGTCCCACATTTAAACAGAAAAACGGCCACACACACACACACACACACACACACACACACACACACACACAATGAGATTCAAACATATGCACGCACGCAAGAAAGTGAAAATGTCTGTACGTATTAACGTACACACACAGTCGTCTTAAACTGTTGAGTGCGTTTAACAGGACTAGAAGGAGCAGCATTTCCTAAACATGATTCCATAGCTTAAATTGAGTTATTTAGAGATGCTCGGATAGGAATTGTAGTTCTGTTGTGGTTTTCACATAAAGAAACATGGCTACTGTGTCATTCCCCACCTTTCCAGAGGTCTTGACTCCCTTCCAGAGACTGAAGTAGAGCAGAACAATCACTACAGCAAGACAGGAAGTCAACTGCCAGCGTGGACGGCCCAGATCACCAATACCTCTACTGTCCTGGATGTGGAGCACCCCTCGTCTAAAGAAAAAGAATATTGTGGTAAGAACCCTGACCAATCCTAGGTCTCCATTTACAGTGTACAAACTAGAATTATCACCTTGCAATTGTGCACCTCTGCCAACCCATTAAGTTGCAAAAACATGGATGCATTACACATATCTGACCGACAACTCAGAGGATCATTTACAATCAGAACAGTTTCAAGGTGGGAAGCAAAGATTCATTCATTCATTTTCTGTAGCTGCTTATCCTGTTTGGGGTGCGGGGGGGCTGGAGCCTATCCCAGCTGACACTGGGCGAGAGGCAGGGTACACCCTGGACTGCCAGACTATCGCAGGGCTGACACATAGAGACAGACAACAATTCATGCTCACATTCACACCTACGGCCAATTTAGAGTCGCCAATTAACCTAACCGGCATGTCTTTGGAATGTGGGAGGAAGCCGGAGTACCCGGAGAAAACCTACACTGACATGGGGAAAACATGCAAACTCTGCACAGCAGGGCTCCCCCACCCTGAGTTCCAACCAGGAACCCTCTTGCTGTGAGGTGACAATGCCAACCACTGCATCACTGTGCTGCTGCATCTTGAGATACTACATTTAGAATGCAATGGGCGAGGTCACAATGACCATGAACCTTGACTCAGAGTGTTTGTGCCAAATTTGATGAAATTCTCTCAAGGTGTTCTTGAGATATCACATTCACAAGAATGAGATGAATGCAAGGTCACAGTGACCTTAACCTTTGACCACCACAATCTAATCAGTTCATCCTTGAGTCTAAGTGGACATTTCTGTCAAATTAAAATGAAAAAGATTCACTCAAAAAAATTCTTCACATATCACTTTTGTGAGAATGAGACAAATGAGATCATAGTGACTTTGACCTTTGGCCACCAAAAAATAGTTGGTTCATCATGGAGTCCAAGTGGACATATGTGCCACATTTAAAGAAATTCCCTCAAGGTGTAGTTGAGATACAGCATTCGTGACAATGAGACAGATGATGTCACAGTGATTTTGACCTTTGATCACCAAATTCTGATTAGTGCATCCTTGACTCAAAGAGGATGTTTGTGCAAAATTTGAGGAAAATTCCCTCAAGGCATTCTTGATACACTGCATTTGCGACAATGAGACAAACAAGGTCACAGTGACCTTGACCTCTGACCTATGACCACCAAATACTCAATCATTTCAATCAAATACAAATCATTTCATTGTTAAGTCCAAGTGGACATATGTCCCAACTCTGAAGAACTTCCCTCAGGCGTTCTTGAGATTTTGCATTCATGAGAAGAGGACGTACGTACGAACAGTTGGACTACCCCGAAACATATTGGTTCCCGCCATGGTAGTAATAGTCATCCTACTTCCAAATGTACAGTATGAGGCATACAGTACATGGTGACAAATATTTTGTCTCTGGGGCACATACAGTTTAGTGTTCACCAAAGTTCAAGGTTGGTTCTTTAACCCTACGCATGGACAGCAATCAAAGGGATGGTGGATATTGTCCTTGAAGCCATGGGGATGGGGTACCAGTAATTTCCCCATTGCATTGTGCTACAATAAAAGTATCATAGTATGTACATGGAATAACAAGTGTTCCTACAACATTATTATTCACAACATCACAACACCTGGATCTGGTTCTTGACATTCTGCATAAAATTGGCTTAACAATAAACGCCTGGCCTTGTTGGAAGCTCAGTACCTGGGGGTTCATCAGTGACAGGAGACATGTAAACCCCAAGGCAATCTGGCCAGATGGATGATACATGAAGTGTTGGTACATCTGTTGCAGCAAAAGTTTCATTATAGCAAATTAAAAAGGTCTCAGAGATTATGTCAGCCTGCCAAGACGGGAAAACTGCGCTGGCAATAAAAGGTAGCAGATTTAAAAGCTTACTTTCATTTGACATCCTGCAACGTTGAATTACATGTGTCACCTGAGAGACTGAACATTGTTGATGCCTTGATTCAGATAATTTCAGAGACAGCCTTACAGATGAGACTGAAAAAGATCAACCAATGTGGTCAAATTGTCTGCAGGTGGTTCTGTGTAAATAGCACACTGCCATTTCAACTAGCATGGATCAAATGTCTCAACTGTCACAACAGAACAACCCCTCACTTGTTGGAAGAGGAGACACCTGGTCAGCTTCACAGGCTGGGAAGGTGCATTGGCCAAATGCAGCCAAACTGAACCATTTTGAGGAAAACATTCCTGATGTTCATTTTTGAACATGTTATCATGTTTGAAGTATCCATAATTAGACAGTCTATGACATTTCTAAATCTAGGCAAAGTAATTACAGTAACTTCAGTTATTCTGTAGACAGCTCCACTCCATTTAACACCATAACTGCATAGCACTGAAGTTTTGTCTTGTGCACTTCTGGCAGAGCAAATGTGTGGGTGATATACAGTACAGTTTTGCACCAATGTGTCACATATCATTGACAATGGCATAAGAATTTTCAAGAGCGTGATTGGCCTCTAAACTGACTACATATCTATGTAACTGTATTTCCTCAAATAGAATTAACGATACTAAACAAATGTTAATAAATAAATATTAGAGCCTTAGTTCAGGCCAACTTACTCGAAGTACTCATGAGCAGGCGTGGGCTTGTAAATGTCACTGACTGAGCTGTTGTCAGCCCGGTCGGAGCAGTTAGGACTGTTCCAAGTGTTGTTGCAGTGGACCCACGGCAGCTCGCTGGTGAACGAGGAGAAGAGGTAGAACAGCGCCCAGGAGATTATGACGTTATAGTAGAAACCAACATAGAGGGAGATGAGGATCACTGTGAAGCCTACACCTGTTAGGGGGAAACAAATGATTAATATTCATAGCTATTAAAGACAGAGATACATAGATAGGAAGAAGGGGAAACAGGCTATGCTCACTGCAAAAAATTAGGACCTTAGATATCGAAATGGGCACCTCAGTGGAATCTAACAGCCCACATGCTTTTTTCTGAATTATAGAGTACTGCTTCCCATGGCTGCAAAGACACTCAGTAGTAGGAAGTAACTAAGTACATTCTCTGAAGCTGTGTATTCCTCCACAATTGTTCGGTACTTCTACTTCACTTGAGTATTTCCATTTTCTGCTGATGTATACTTCTACTCCACATTTCAAAGGGACATGCAGCTATAGTCACTGTTACTTTTCAGATTAAGGTAAGATAATCTTATAAAATATAATGCACTGTTAAATATTAAACCAGTGAATTTCAACCTTTTTTGGCAAAGTTTTCAAGTCAGATAAAGGCATAAAACACCCACAAAAAACATAATTCATTTGCAGATGGTTGCATTTAAATAACTGTTCAAGTTCCGACCAAACAGCAATCTCCGGGGCTGAGGGGCCAATCCAAAAGTCCTCAAACCTGCAGTTCATTGAATGGCCACTTGAGGCTGGCTCCAAAACAGTGTTAGTCCCCTCAGACCCCCATGTTAAAAACGTTAATGTTACAGCAGAAATAAACATGTTTACAGCCTGGTGCAAAAAACAGTTGTGTGGGATGTGAATTTTGTATATATAACTTAACCATTTGCATTTTATTAAGGCCTAAAGTTATGCATACTTTTTTAAGGATGGGACCGCTTGAGTGACAGGCTGTCTGCAGGGTGTCGCTACAGTCTATGAGTCAGATCAACCCCTCACTTCCTCCACAGCTCCAGCCTCTTGTCTAATTATGGTCACTTCTGGCTTCCTCTGATATCTTGTCACCCTGTGGGGAAAGCAGGCAGCCCCCTTTGGTATATTGGTAACCACTGGACTAGTTTACTACAGATAAAGTAGTTAAAAATAGCTAATCACTGACCAGCTACAATAGTAAACTGCTGATGCACACTGAAACATCAATAACACTAATACTGTTATACACAACCAGAAATCAGTCACAATTAGTCTGCACCTTTACATTTGATACTTGAAGTACATTTAGCTGATAATACTGCTATGCTTTTACTTGAGTAGGATTTCAATGCAGGATTTTTACTTGTAATGGAGTACTCATATATGGTTATATTGGTACTTTGACTTCAGTTAAAGGCCTAAATATGTATTCACTATTGAGGATGTCCGGGTAAGAAGATGCACATAAAAATGCAATCAAAAAAATATTACAAATTAGCATTGTAACCCTTATTTTATTGAATGTTAGCTGTTAGGAAATAATGTACTGTCTTGCTGAAGAAACCAAACCTCTAAATACTTTTGGATGAGTCACCTTTTCACACTGTCCTACAACAGTTTACCAGAGCAGTCTTACATACTGTATGCTTTTGTCATACACATACAGTGAACCAAATGACATACAAACCCTTAACAGTGGCAGTGCAGGTGTTAATGCTCCTATCTGTCTTTCAGTTGCAGGAATGTTTTAAAGGTTATCAAGTCATGAGTGATTTTTAGGTATTTGGTCATGAGGAACCATTGTGAATCAGCAGAAAAAGTACAATGTTCCACACACGCTTCAAAGTTGTGTGAACAGTGACTCCTGACAGATCCCACCACTGAAGTGCCAACCAGCGAGTAGTAGCCTATGTCACATGCCTGCGGCGGCCTCACCGAAACTTCTAAAGATTGCCTCTTCATGCCTTAATTATCAACACATCTACCCTTTCTATAAATCTAAAACAATGTCCACTCTTCTAAGACTGACTTTGATTGTTGACCTTTGGTGAAAGCCATGACCACAAGTGTGCCTTATTGATTCCTTCTGTAATGTGGATGTGATATTTGAACAGGGAGTCATGCCTCTTATTAGCGCCACATGCTGCCGTGTGCCATCTCTCCCTTTCAAGTCTGCCTTTCTCAGTCATTTTCTTCAAATGCATTGATCCTGAGGAGGAAACCAGCTTGTTGATCAGAATAATTACTGTCAATATGGGCATGTGTGTGTGTGCGTGTGTGTGTGTGTGTGTTTGAATAATTACTGTTATCCCCCCGCTGAGAGACAGAGAGAGAGTGAAGCGTGTGATTAGACCGTCAACCTACTCAGTGTGGTCCCTGACAGACGGCACATGTTTGCACGCAGGAGGCACACGCTCAGACACACACACACACACACACACACACACACCCCCTAAAAGAGCACAGTGCAGTACACACTGCGGGCCACCTTCAGACAAACAAGGACATAATCTAACAAAAAGCAGCACTATGGCATCATACTGGGAAGCAACAGCTGGTCTGCTGATAATAATGGTATTTGAGGTTGTGTTTCTGTTGCATCTTTAGATTCATAGTGAGGAGTTAAATATGGATTTAAGTGAAACTATAACTTTACCAGAACAGGATATACAGTACAGAGACAGAGACAGATGAATACACACAAGAGCTTGTAAACTGTGTGTAGAGACTAAGAAGTTGAACCAAGCAAGGTGTATTTTTCAAGCAATGACTTTGCTCCAAAATGTGAATTGCTTTTAATGTTTGTTCCTCCATTAGCGTACGTTTGGATGACAAACTGCGCTTTGCTTATCGATGTGTTGAAAAGTACCCTCACAGAGTGTTTGACAGGAGGATTTGGACAATCAGGACAAGAGTCTAAAAGCCCAATTTTCATTTGCTTTCCATCTGAGTGCCAACAGAACCTGATGTTCTGGGGAGGATAAACAATGCCTGTCGCACCGCTCAACACGGGAGATGAGCAGACAAAGGAGACTGGCATGTGGACAGACAGGCAATGTGGGCAGACAAGCAGATAGAAAGACATGTAGATATTAAAGGTCTATCATCAGACAGACAGACAGGCATGTACATACCATGATGGACAGATTTCAAATATGTAAAGCATTTGCGGTCAAGAATTTGCCTGTGTACGTCCCCCCGGGGTGGGCATGTGTCTGTCTGTATATGTCAAGGTTCCCACACATGTCAACCAAAGAACTTTCAGAACTTTGCCGTAACTTTTCATAATGTTTTACCATTTCCTCAACTTTATTTAAGTAGTTTGGGCAACCTACATCGTGATACAGCCATACTTTATGAAACACACACTCATTTCTGAAGAAAACTGCGAGTGTTTAATAACTTTACTCCCTCATTAGACATAACCGCTGCCAGCTAGCTGCAAATAGGGAAGACCGCCACATGAGGGTACCTCACAAAATATCAAGGCTGTGCTTCTTTTTAGGGGATATAAAACTGAAGATTGTGTAAATGTCAATGCAATTTGACATGTCTGGATTATAAATTTGGCATGTCAGTTTGCACTTATTTCTTGTTAAACAAACATTTGTTTTACAGGCATGTCTAATGACTGTTTTGTGGCCTTGCCTGAGCCTGAGTGTTCACGATACCTCAATGAATGGACCACCGTCATGTCTCGTCCGTCTTCCCCCATCCAAGTGGTTCAATGACCCAACACAGTGGGTGGATATTTCATGTATACATGTCTGAATCAAGATACCTGGTGATTCAATCAAATATGCAGCCTATATTTGATTGAATCACCAGATATTGTCGACTGTTAACAGCCAACTGTTTGATCTAGGTTAAGATTTAGTTGGAGATGACAGTCTGATGTTGCTACACTGCATGACTGTACTGCAGCAGCCTCCCACACAGACTAGCATTAGCTATCCATCAGTAGTAACTGTCAGCAGCATCATTTAGCCATTTACTACACTGACAGTGGATATTCACGAATCTTAAGTGGGTCGAATCTCAGTATGAAAGCCTTGGTTAACTTGCTACATAACAGCTTTTCAGCATTGTCATGTTTCAGTCCTGATGTGACAGCGTGTTTCTTTCCCCCAAAAGGGGGTATGGCCTTGACTATGACGCCATTTATGTATTACTTGATACCGGTTACATCTCAATGGTCACGCAGCGCAGCACTAGATTTTACATTAGTAAAACAAGTAACATATTTTATGTAACATTCGACATGTTTTGGGATTTTTATAAACATGTTTTAAACAATGGACAAAACAATATACATTCAAAACTTTTCCAGAAATCCTGATATCTGAATATGTGTCTTCCCTACCTTTAAATATAGGACAGATCTTCCACACGCCTGCAGCCCCCTCTCTGTTATACTGCCCCACAGCCAGTTCCATGTAGAAGAGAGGCATGCCTGCTATCACCATGAAGAACAGGTATGGCACTAGGAACGCACCTGCACACATAAAGAGACAAGTAAAACTTCATCTGGAGATGAAAAATTACATTCAGGAGAAAATGAAAAGTTTAATGACTCCATATCAATTATAAAGTATGAAAGTGGATAGTACTTTAGTGACATTTGTTCAGGGCCCTTTTGTAAATAAGGTATAACAGCCTTTGAAAGGTTTTTGGAGATATTATAATTTACCAAAAATGATAGGCTTACAGAGCACCTGTACAGTCATTGGGTAGGGAATATGGTGATTATCAATACTCTTAAAAATAGTTTGGGTTCAGAGCACCTTGGTGGCTTGGAGGTTAATGCCCTTCCCCTTCTTCCTACTGCCTCTAGTGAATTTTGCTGGAATTTACCGCAGCACACTAACAACAGCCAATCAGAGCCGAGGAGTCTCTAACGCAGCTGTACTACTCTTGTGCGGTCAAACTGTCAAACCAGGGAGCACTGATCAAATGTGAATCAAGATTTCGTTACTGCATTGCCTAAATCTCACCTTAAATCTTTTCAGAAACATAGTTTAGTGTACTGTTTAGCTGTAAAATGAGAACTTTTGTGACCCGCCCACCATGTTGGAAAGTATTAAGCACAGCTCACCAGCCGGACCAACATTCTCATTCTACAGCTGAACAGTACACTAAAATATATATATATATATATATAAATACGATTTTTTATTTGTTTTGATAGATTATCAGTCTCATTTAATGCTGTGTGAATACTGAAACAGTTGCAGCAAATAAAATAAAAGCTATTTTTCATAAAAGTTACCAACTACAACTTTAAGGCGCTGACCATGAACCAAAACACCCCAGGTTTGCATCCAACCAGGAACCTTTGTTGCATGTCATCCCCCCCCAAGTTAACTGGGTTAACTCAGTAATATTTTCCCTACATACAGGTATGACAACATGCGACATTCTGTAAAATATAGGGACATATGGTCAGCCTTGACGGAAGCCACAGTGTCGTTTATAGCTCTTAAACATAATGAGGGCTCTATGTTAAACAGCCATAATTAGTGGCAGTGATTGTTAGAGCTAATCTATTCGGAGCAGCTGTGGTGGTTTTTCCCCTATTTTGATCTCTGTGAAGGGGCTGAAAAAAAAATCTCAAACAACAACCAGTGAGCACATGGAGCTGAAACACACACACACACACACACACACACACACACACACACAAACACCTGTGTACATGTGCAAGTAATGTGTATGCACATGACTGCATGTATACATGCAGTTGAAAATATAAAGCATGCAAACACATGTGAATAAATTCCACCTTCATTTCACCTTCTTTTCACCTTCTTTTCAACACAACCACGCGCACACACTCCTTTAACCATTCCTTCAGTACTTTTGTAGGAGAGGAGGATGATATTGTTCTCACATAAAGCACATCCTACATCCTTCCTTTACTTCCTTACTCCCTTCACCATCCACCCTCTTTAGACATGGGCCAACATTAGCTTCTTCCCCTCACCCCTTCAATCTAGCTCACCTCCTCCATTCTTATAGCAGAGGTAGGGGAATCTCCAGACATTGGCGAGGTCCACTGCGAACCCAATCACAGACAGGAGGAAGTCGATTTTCTTCCCCCAGGTCTCCCTCTCCTCCTCTTGGTTGGTCTGAGGAGGAGTCGGAGCCACTATGGTGGTTGAGGTGAACTGGACCCCATTCTGCTCTTTCACCAGGATCAGCTCCACCTAATGAGTTAGAAGTCATGTAGCTAATACTCAATCAGATGCAGTAGGAGCTGAATACACACTAGGGTGATTTAAAAACTCATTTAGTGGCCAAAGTCTCATTCTCCTGCTACCCACACATGACAGACGGAGACAGTCACCTTCATTTCATCAATTCTTCATGCAATAGTCGAGGCTTTATATTCTGTCCTCTGACAAAGTTAATTGTAGATTTTAAGAATTATATTCAAGAAGTCACTAAGTTCATTTTAGTCTCCAGGAAATTCAAATTTCTTTACGATTATGGTTCTTTTTCAACCCAATGCTTTTTAGGTCTGCATAAATTGAGTCAGACACACCAAATCAGAAAGAAATGCTCTTAATTAAGAAGCTCGCCCCGTGCTGGGATTCAATTGGGTTTTCCTAATCAGACTGAATTGTATGCCATTAATCCACTACATGTGTGTCAGATCTGCACTTACCTCTTTGGGGCCCATGGTGTTGGAGGTGGGCTTCTCTGGGGCTACAACCGAGGACATGAGGCCGACAGGGACTCTCTCTGTCAGCATGGAGGGGTGCACAGCCTTCGGGAGTGAAATGCCAGCGGTTATGGAGGAGAGATGACAGTAAGTGCAGCTGTAGAGTCTGGAGAAAACACAAGGTGGAACTTTATTATTCCCTGTTTGGGATATGGGTTATTATGCAAATATAATCAGACTTAATGGGGCTCTACACAACAGTAAGGGAGAAATTCAGCACTAAAAACTGTTAAAAAATCTGATTAATCTTTCAACATGTTAAGCAGACTGTATGGGAGATAAATACACAAGGATTATGGGTAATTAAATATATTACTTCATATCAAGATTTCAGGTTGCTATATAAAATACAGAAAAAGCAACAGAAAGTGGGATCCAGGCTGACGGCAACAGGAGAGCGTCTCCACCAAGCCATCGCAGTGTGCTCATTTAATTTCACTCTTGTTGATCGCCATTTTGCACACAGATTTGGCCCAGTGTCTACTAACCCCATCTCTCCGCAACATGTTGTCCACCACATTTTGTTCAAATTCCCGCTCCAAACTTTTCACTAAATTGATCTTTAGTAGAAAAAGTACCAGTATTAGGCCCTATTCATTTTTCAACTGTAAGAAAGTGATCATAAAAACACTGTTTTAAAATTATACAATTGAAAATATGTTGTTTTTTTTTGCTGTAACATATTTCTGTTTGTTTGGTTTTTTTGACTTAGTCTAAAATTTGTTTTGCAAACTGAATATCCATCTGATCTTGCAAGGCTTATGTGAGCATTTCAATATAATTTAAACCTCTCTTACTCCACTGAACTGCTAAAGATGATGGCAAATTGCAAATAATGTATTCTGTAAATTTCCTGTCAGCATAAGACAAGAGATAACACCATAGTTTAAGGTCAAATGCTACATTATTAGAAATAAAATGACTCAAGGAACATTTCATAAAAGAAAAAAACTGTTTCTAGGGAATAAAACACTCACCTTTGAAATATGACAGGTGAAAGCTCCTCTTGTTTTCAGTTTGGACAATTTAATTCCAGTCGCGCTGACAGTCTTCACTGCGCTGCAAACTGGTGCTGATCATATTTACGCAGACCGTCCTTGACAAGTTGGACTCGGATCCAGACTGAGGCAAAAATATTGAGGGAAGCTGACAGAACAAAAAAAGATATTAAGCGATAGAGTCACAGTAAAACAGAAAAAGATGAGAGGAACTGGTAATCTAAGAGGAGTAGAAGAAAACCCTCCCACCCTCCTTGGCTCCAGTGACAGACACACAGAGCCCAGAGTACCCTGTGGTCTGGTATGGAGATCTGTCTGCGTTACCACTCTTGTATGAGAATCAATCAACAACTCCCCCCAATCGCCGTCACTCTCCTCCCTCCCACCTTACCCAAGCTTTGTCTGTTCCTCCTCCTCTCTCTCCAGTCATTGCATTTTTTTCTCACCTGATTTAAGAATTTTTCTGGATGTCTTTTTGAATGTTAATCTGTTAAGTAAACACAAAAATAAACAAATTAAATATTGCAACATGAACACACAGATACAATGAAATTTCTTGTAAGTGCCATATTTGAAATATTCTGTCTGCCTTGACTATCATCCACCTGATGCTAAGGTAACCAGTATATAATGGAAGAACATTATGGATCTTTCATCGCCCAAGAATACAACTGCTGAGGCAGTAGCTTTAAGGTAGTCGACCTCCAGTATGATCTAGTCTTCACTGGACTGAGGATTCCAAGTCATAACACAAAGAGCAGTTGTAGGTTGTCACAACAAGGCATGACATGAAAATAAACCATGTTATGTTAAATAAATAAATAAATAAATAAAAGTGATACCTGTAGAGTTTGTCTCTTGGGAGATGAAAGATAAATAAATAAATCTTGCATTGTCCCTATGCAAATACAAACTGTGATTGTTACTGCATTTCCTTCACCTCTAAAATCATCCCAAATAAAAACATAGTGACATTTGTTTCTGGATTTTGATTTTAAAAGTTATTATTAATTGTCTTATTGATTCGAATGGAGATCTTAATTTTGCATCCGTTCTCCAATTAACCCTGAGGGTGGTGCAACAGTGTGACAGTTGTGGCTAAAGCTTCTTGTTATTATGTTAAAGTAACTTAAGTAATGTGTGTAACTGTAGCAGGGTTGGCAGTAAACCGGTGTAAACTCCTTAACCAGTAATCAGTGCAGCAGGATGTTGTTTGTGATAAGTTATGTCTGCGAGAAAAGACGTGAACACTGTTTAAAGCCCCTGAGAACTTGGTCTGAAATCTTACACCAGGGGTGTCAAACTCATATGGGCCATATACAGCCCAGTTTGATCTCAAGTGGGCCGGACCAGTAAAACCACTGCATAATAACCTATAAATAACAATCCCTTCAAAATATTCCCCCTTTATAGTGTAAAGAAATCAGGGGTGGACTGGGACACAAATTCAGCACCAGCCCACACGTTTCTACCTATAATCCTATATATGCTTGTACACACTACACAAACACTGTCCTCAGAATCAACTGCATACGAAAATCAGCAGTTATTGTTTAATTCCAGACTATAAAGTAAATGCAATAATGAATTGGCCACAAATGGCTATGTGCTTATTATTTAACTTAAAATAAGAGCATATGACTCTATCCTAATGCATGTAATTTATGCACGATATAAATGTCTGCCCAGCCCTGCTCTTGTTTTACATAAGCCCAATTTATATCTCCATGGCTCACAGCCGTGAACAAAGGAGATATAAATTGGGCAATAGGCCCTATAGTCGACTTTAAGTCAAGTTATTACAACAAAAAAATCCCACTTAATACTACTAAACAGGTTTTCCTCTGGCTAAAATGTAATGCATAGTAGGCTTAGGCTATGCCTTCACATTGCACCTGTCATATTTCTGGTCTTATCCTCCTCATCATCACGACTGGGGTTAGTCTGTCCCTCAGCTTCATTGTCCTTAGGACTGGGAGCACCACTTAATGACAATTGCATGCACCCACAGGAAAAAAGCAAGCACATATTTTCTTTTAGTTCAGATTTAAATTAGATTTATAATGACTTAATGCAATACCTAGTAGGCTAATAATAGTAGACACCTAGAAGAAATAGTAATTTGCCAAAGCTAACCTTGCAACCTACACACACAGGAACATTAGCTAACATTAATGCACCTGCTATAATAGCGCCGTCGGCTCCAGCTCCATCCAGCAGCCCGTCAACCAACGCCGCGGCCAAATAGGTCGGTTATGTTGGAGCACTTTACTGCCTATTCTTGTAAAGATTTAAGTTTTTTTATTGGAGTTTTTTTCCGCGCCACCCTTTCTTTTTTTACCGGCTTTATCCATGTTTTTTGTCTTTCTCTTTTCTCAGTAGCTAGCACTAAGGGTCACACTAGCATGGTCTGCCGTGAGTAATAACTGATCACAGCGGCTGAGCCAATCAGATTTCAAGAAAAACGAGGACCTCTTTCCTATTGGAGGAGGCCGCTCTTATCCCCTCCTTCAAGCAAGATTGACATCTACGTTCCCTCTGAATATCTCACAGCAGTCAAACAACATGGGTGGGACGCGGGATTCGTCGCGAACTTCCCGATGGCCAATCCGCCATTAAAAGATGTTCAAGTGCATTATAAAAACTTTCATCCATTTACAAAACAAATGATGATATATGGAGAAAAATATGTGCAAATTTCATGAACAAATCTGAAGTTTTTCAGTGCCTTAGCAATGGGGTTTCACCCATATTGCTTTAAGATAGAAGTCTGGTCCAGATTCTTTTGTACTGAAGCTGCTGGTTGACAATATTTTGCACAATGTTTAGTATCGTTTAGATACAACCACAGTCAGCATTCATTGTTATTTTAGAGAAGTGTTTTCCAAGCAGGGTGGAAAAGCCTCTGAGGCCGTGGGCCGGATTGGACCCTTTGGCCCCCCGCCTATGTTTGACATCCCTGTCTTAAGCTGTTCTCAATAGCTCTATACATTTCTGACTCAGACTAATGATCACAGTTAGGGTTTAAAAAAAAGAGCAAGTTCAGTCATTTAACATAAAAATATGGATCTGGATTGTTTGAGTATGGTGTGCTAGGATTTGACTGACTATGTCCTAGCAACTTGATCCCAACAACTATGATCAGGGTCTGATTCACATATGGTTAAATCTCGAATATTTCATAGGATCAAGTGACATCAACATTTTCCGGCCAAGCCCAGAAAAGCCCTCATTCTAACACAAATGCAGAACTCTCTCAATTGAAAAAGAAAAAACCTGAGCTGTGGCAGTTCAGTAGGACGCTATCACCGGTAGTAGGCGCTGACTGAGCAAATAAGTTTCCAGGGCCTCTAATTTCAGTGTTAACTCTACTCTATAAAACAAAAACAAATCCCTCCCTGCCACCTTATCCTTTTTCTTTTCCTTGCTTCTTTTCCCACCCCTCAATAGACCCCAATGACCCACCAGCCCACCTTGTCAATAGGCCGAAATCTCATTACCTGTAATGTCCAACAGGCCTAAACACAATCAACCCTGTCACCCAGACCTCTCCCATTTCAACTCAACCAAAACAGGGCCGGGGCTTTAAATAACCCAATCAGCCCGCTCCCCACGGACAGATTTATGACCCTCATGTCCAGAATGACAGCTTGTTGTTTGCAAGCCAATCGTAGCGATCAATCGGCCACTAATCCCCGACACCAGCACCGGCACCACAACACACACACACACCTCTAAAGTGCAATCATCTATCAAGCCTTGGGCCACATATCAGAAACTGGTGGGTTGATGTAGGCCGCGCTGAATGTATGAGGTTTCCGATGGAGCTCGGACAACGATGAGGTGAACATAATCGAGTGTCTTGTTTTCATAAATGCAACAGCTGAGACCCAGAGGAGAAGGGTAAAGAGGAGGAGGGGGGAAGAGCAGGAGATGGGTGAGGCAGGGGAGGAAGAGAGATAGGAGAGGGTGGAGGAATGGTGCAAGGGGAAACAAAGGGGAGGACAAAAAGTGGTGGCAAAAGTGAATGCATTCTATATTGTGCATATTATGTAACCCTGGGCCTTTAAGAATCACCTGTCTTTCTAAATGAAAGCTGCTGTAATTAATGTGAATAACTAACGGTTGCTCTAGCTTGCTCATATAATACCTCTAATACCTGCTGTCCTGAAATAGAACGGAAATGCACACACACTGCATACTAGCTGGCAACAAGAATGTTCTGCTGCTCTGCTCTGTTGAAGCTGTTGGATCTGAATCTATAAGGCAGAACATATACTTTAAGAATCAGTGTACCACATGGTTTCCTTCCACTTGTCTTGCTTTGTGTGTGAGCTTACTCCTGCAGGAAGAAAAAAAAGACACAAAGGAGGAATGAGGGCAAATTCTTTGTCTATTGAGTCATGACCATAACCAGTGATTCCAGACAATTAGAACTTACCCCCCAAACACAGACGACCATTTTACCTGCTGAGCAACACAGTGGGGACTCTTAATTAAGTCTCATTCAGTCATAAATGTGCATGATACAATCTGCAAGAGAGAATATTTCTTGATTAGAGGAAAACATTTAATTGGTGCTCACTACATTGTCTGTGGAGGTAATGAGAAAATACTTTGTTTGAAGTTACATACCAAGAATAAGAGCAGCTAATACCCCATTGCACACAAGGCAATATCAGTAACCTCATGAGACCCTGGGTCCTCACGTGAGGACAATACATTTGGGGTTTACTGCATCTTATACTCCATTCTGCTTAACTTAGACCTGTTGTCCTCGTTCATGGACACTTCTTTGTGCCATCTAGTGGTAGTAAGACCACAATACACAAATCCATATAAAAACAAGATGGCAGACATCACTGCCAAGTCAGTCTGCAGCCAACCCCAAAATATAAGTGGGCAAGGCACATAACCTGATCACATTAAATAGTTCAGACTTGTTTATTTATGATTAATAGTTGATAGTAGTTTGATATGCCAACAAATGTTACTATTGATTAAAAAGTAGTCATTTGAAAACATTGGGAATTTATTATCATCGGGTTTGAGGATATGGGGACTTTATTACTATTGACTTTGTAAATTTTTTTATACAATCCAGATCCTACTGATCCTAAATAGCCAGGAGAAATTAAAAATGCATACCAAACAACAGCTAAGGTCTCAGGAGGGTAATCACTCTCCACCTGTATACACCTTATGCAGACAGCTCTGTGAGGCTACTGATTAGAATGTTTTGCATAATGGCCGTTTGGTCATAAACCAAAAAAAAAAAAAGATAAT